CCCCTCCCCCCCCCCCCCCCCCCCATGACTGCCTCTGGAGCAACACCTCTGTGGGGTAGAGTAGGATGGTTAAGCAGAGAAGTTAAGCAATTTGCTAAAGGTCCCATTGAAAGTCTGTGGTAGAACTGGGAATTGAACCAAGTGCTCATATGTTGTAAATTACTGTTCTAGTCACTGGACCATGAGAGAGGTCATCCAACCCACAAGGAAAAACAGAGGCCAGTGTCCAATTGTCACTAGAACTCTGTGAAAATCAGTGTGCTTTTTTTTGCAAGGACACATGGGAACATGACCGTCTAATTAACAACCTAGGATATATTACAATCTAGATGGAACTACTGTGAGGTGGGTGCATAACTGGCAGGATAACTGTTCCAAGAGAATAGTTATCAATGGTTCATAGTCATGCTGGAAGGGCATAATGAATGGGGTTCTGCAGGGATCAGTTACGGGACTGGTTCTGTTCAATATCTTCATCAATAATTTAGATAACTGCATAGAGAGTATGCTTATAAAGTTTTCAGATGATATCAAGCTGAGATGGATTGCAAATGCTTTGGAAAATAGGATTATAATTTGAAATGATGTGGAAAAACTGGAGAAATGGGCTAAGGTAAATAGGATGTTGCGGGAAAGATGTGGACAAATTGGGGAAAAAAAGTTCAGAGAAGAGTTATATAAATGATTAAAGGTCTAGAAAACATGTTGGGAAGATTGAAACAATTGGGTTTGTTTAGTCTGGAAGGGTATGTCTACACTACCCCACTAGTTCGAACTAGTGGGGGAATGTAGGCATACCGCACTGGCAAATGAAGCCCGGGATTTGAATTTCCCGGGCTCCATTTGCATAAGCGGGGAGCCACCATTTTTAAAACCCCGCTGGTTCGAACCCTGTGCAGCGCAGCTACACGGGGCATGAACTAGGTAGTTCGAACTAGGCTTCCTAGTTCGAACTACCATCACTCCTCGTGGAATGAGGAGTAACGGTAGTTCGAACTAGGAAGCCTAGTTCGAACTACCTAGTTCGTGCCCCGTGTAGCCGCGC